GCTATTTAGATTTGAACTTCCATGGTAAACTGAAAAACACAAGTGGAGATAATGGCTAATTTGCATAACCATTCAATCAGTAAGAAGTTTGCTAATGCTCATAATTAAAATGGCTGTAACAGTTCCAAATTTAAACCTATTATCGTTTTGTAAAAAGTTAAATATAGTGCATAATATGGATATCCCGTCATTACTTTTTTTTCACCATGTTTCTTTTTGATTATTTATGTACAGCCTTGCTAAATCTTGCTAAGCATTCAAAAGAGAGAATGTTTGTACCAGTTTCTATATTTTAAAATAGTCTTTTGAGTATGTTCCACTATTCACAATACTGTGAAATGTTAAGTCTATAGCCAAGACTGTTTGGATAATAAAAAGCAAAAAAAAAGAAAATTCACTCCCAAGTGCCCACGAACCTGCATCTATACCTTAAGCACTGTAGCCCAGTGGTTAATCCACTGATTAGTCTGTGATATGTGTTTTTCAAGAGTTGATAATTATTAAATTCCCTACTCAAGTTAATTTTGAGTAGGTTGAATGAGCAAATTTCATCCACAAACTTCCCTGATATAAATAGGCTTTAAATAATCCGTCATCTAAATTTTGATGTGCAAGCACACATTTGCTGGGTATATTGCCTTTGAAAACATCAGTTCTAAGTCTCAGAGACGCATTAACAAATTGTCTTTGCAAAGGTTTATCGGCAACTGGACCAGTAGCGTAAAAGTGTAATAAATCATTGTGTTTTTCTCTCACAGGAAACCTTTTTGGCAGCCTTATGCAAACATGTTGACAATCATACTAAAGCAACAGCAGAGTGCTTTGCAGTGGATGCAACTGGAACAACGCTGAATAAATCTTCTTTGGATCAGGTAAGCCTGCTGTAAAGCCATCAACTGTTACTAAGTATTATGCAATAAATCACTGTGCGAGTCTTCAAATCTGTGTTTAAGCTACTTGTGCCACAGAGGCTTAAAGATGTAATGCGTGTTTTATGTGACTCAATTTTAAATACTGACTTTGTTATTAGGAAATTTCCTTGAACTTTGCTCATAACAAAAATAGTTCACTGATGTTATGCATTTGTTAATTTACTGAAGTCATACAAAACAAATGTATCTTGTTTGTTTGTTTACTAGTCACAATTTGTATTTGTTTGCATTGAAGATTAAAATTCAAAGTCTGTATCACCTGTGACAGTTTCCACAAAAACTATGGAATGTTTGTGTTATTAGGCATAAAATGAAAAATTAATGTGCATACAATATATAGATCTATAGTCCATGGGCCTTGCATGTACAATATTAAATATTCTTGAAAATAAACCCTCCCCCAGTTATTCCACAAGTTTTCGGCATTTCTGTAATGAAAATAAAATAAACTTGATTTATTTGAATTCCTTGAATTAATTAACGAAATACATTTCTATTCTGCTGCTGCTGGAGAAAAATAAAAGTGTGGAATAAATTTGTGGGCAAATTAGAAGCATGTGATATTCATCATCAATTTGATTACAACAAAATGGACAATTCCTCTGTTCCAGTGGAATTCTTGAAGTGAAAAATGTGAGTTTTTCCATCATAAATTAGTTTGATGCACATAAAGGAAGAAGTGCTCACTCAGTACATTCACACTGTCCACAATACAAGAACACCCACTTGACTTGTCCAACTTGTTAATGTAACCAAATTATATTGACCTTTCAAATAATTGGAGGAACGTTTCAGCCACCTTTTTTCAATAGTGGGCGTTTTTGCCATGTCGCACTAGTGGCGATGAAATAGCCTTGGTTGCGAAAATCAAATCTATCAATCTGCCATGGACATTTTGTTAAAATCATTTTAAATATTTTATTCTTGAGTTAATTTTCAAAAAATAATTATTAAATGAATATGTTCTTTTAAGTGGTTATGTCCAAGAAAGTTTTAATATTGAATTCTTTTAATGCAAACTACGTAATTTTAATATTACATGCAATAACAGAAGTTGAAGGTTTCAAGTATCTTGGGGTAACCATGGATAGGAAACTATTATGAAAACGTCACATCCATCTGATATGTAAAAAGATTGCATGTAAGATTTAGACAAATTTAGAAGAATTAGAATTAGTTTCTAGCTCATCATCTAACAGTTTTGTATTACTAGTACTACATTTTGATTACTGTGATGTTTTAATTAATAGTGCAGACACTGGTAGTCTTCAATTGTAGGTGCTCCGGAATCCAGCAGATTGAATAATTCTAGGAGCACAGAAATGGCATGTTTCAAAAAATTGGCATCTCAAATCAATCTTGTTAAAATTAGAACGCATTATATAAAACGTAGCTTTAGCTACACAGGAGCACACCTATGGTTTCCAATTCTATCTAATATTAAATCTTCCCCAACTGTCACAAAAACCTTTATGAAAAATACTTGTGTAGTCAATTTATTTGTTAGAAAGCAAACACGTTTAGCAATACGTCCACATGTTAAATGTCAGAAGTAGTTCATTGTCAAAGGCATGATCCCTTCATATGTGCATATTTATTTACTAATGAAGTGTACCTTACACTCATTGCATATTTATATTTATTTGTGTACGAGATATAAGTAAACAAATATAAATACGTCATGCTTGTCAAATACAAAACCTCCATGGCCGAAACTTCCTATATTGTCATGAAAGAACATGCACAGCAGAAGTATCTGCATTAGAAAACGTCCTGCAATATTTCAATTGTTTTGACACAATTGCCATCATTTGCCATATGTACATGTTGTAATAAGGGATATCTAGCATCGGACAAGATCTTGCAAGGAGTGCTCAAAAACATAAGACAAATGTTTTTTACCATCGATTTTGAATATTACTGACTTTAGTATGTAAATTTATAGTGAGAAAAATGTCATGGCTGCATACTACTAGTGTTCTAAGAATGCAGTTTTGTTCAGGATGAGGATAGTGTTTTCTGGCAGACACTTGTGTACTAAATTAAACCTACAATGAACTTGTATGTATTTGATGGAGTATTTAAAAAAAACAAAAAAAACAATATCTCTCAAATTTAGTAAAAGCAAAAAAACTGAACTGGGTAAATGAAAAGTTCATCATAGTGAGCACAGTTTCAGTTGGTCAAGAATGGATGATTCTCCTGTGTACCATTGGGTGTGAGAAACGGTCTTGGGTACAAGCAAGAAATTTCGTGTGAATACTTCAGGCAGTGCAGCTGTCTGTCAGCCTGACAGGATAAAATGACGATTTAATTTTTTTATGAAAGAATGACACAAGCATTTTTTTTTTTTCAGATTCTGATCAATGTTAGCTAGATTCATGACTCAATTGTTAATTTCATGCCTCTCTTGTGGTCTTGTATGCCATGTATCATTTGAGAACACATAGATGTACATGTTGTATGTATGAAGCATAGACAATTAGAATGAGCTGTAGAATGAATAATGTATTTTCTTACAAAATATCCATTCAAGTATGTCACATTGAAATGTATTAGGATAATGAACACAAGTTTGACCTTTGACCAGACACAAAACCACTCCTTGACTAGACAATGTCTGTCATGACGGTGAAATAGAAACCATTCATTCTAAGGTATTTTTAGCTCATCAGTATTAAAAAACACAACTCTGTATGATTTGACTGATAACTAATGGCTTGTATTGATCTAGTCTTTACAATCCTGTAGTAATTTGTATCAATGACATTGCAGACTGACAGCAATTATTAGTACATCTGCAGAACAGCATACAGAAGTCAAGAAATTCATCTTATTTCCATTTTACATGAATCAACAACATGTCATTCATCTAATTTTTTTTTTTTACAGTTTAAAAAGAGGATGATCACTTTTTTGGAAGTACAAGACAACTATCTGGATCAGTACATTGTGATTACTGGTCAGAAGAATAATAAAAACCAACAGCGAGCACGGAAAACCAGTTTCTATACTAAAAAATTTAAGGCAGTCTGTACAACAGACAATGAAGTGTGTCTCTTTCCCATGGACACTGAAACAGATTTGTGTAAACAAATTGCTGTTTCTATGGTGATTCTTCGAGACTAGAATGATGGAAGATATGCGATCTTTTATTTTGTTGCACCCTGTGCCAAAGGTTTTATCTGGAGAAAATAAAAACAAATGAGATGTTGGATTCTTGACCAGCTTTAAATTTGCTTGTTTTTGCATCACAGGCCTGTAAAACAATTCAGTATTCAGTTCTATGAACTTTTATACTCTAGATTAATATTATGTAGCTATAATTTATTTTTCATTCAGAATGATATTTTGGTAAATTGAGAGTAAATTGCAAGCAACAATAAATTAATGTTACAATCGTACTGTGTGTTCAACTCAGGAATAGTATTTTGTCACATTGAGTTTTTGCATAGTGAAAATTATTTTCAGGCTGCCGAATTCCAAATTGTAAAGTTGGGGAGAATTCAACTAATGTTGTTGAAAAGCAGAATTTCAGATCCGTCCATGTGTACTTTCCATCCTTACTCTTCATTGAGTAGTTATGCCGATTAGTAAACAGTATTCTGTTTAGTTGTCTCTTCTGGAAACACTTTTTGTTGTTGTTGTTGTTCATCAACCAATTTGTTTTTCAAAATTACTTTTTATGTTATCTCTGTACTGATTCAACTTTTCCATCTTGAGGATTTATCAAAAACAAACAAAAAACAAAGCAAAAAAAAACATGCACCACATGTATTCTCTGCCACGCCAAACAGAATTCTTATATCAATGAGATTTACCTGCAAGGCAATTAGTAGAAATTTAAATAATTTAAAACTGTTCTGGTGTGAGATAGCATATCTGACTTGGAACATTAATGCCTAATGACAATCTGTTATAAAAATCTAATAAACTTGTATTGAATGTTCTGATACAAGACATAACGGACCTAAATTAGCAGTACTACTTTAAAGCATAAGCTTGTGTTGTTCAATTTATTGCAGTTAAATACTGTTGTTTTTTCATAGTTACACATTGTACATATACCATTTATTTATGTGTTTAAGCATAGCTTATTTAATAGTTTGATTGGACTTTTAATAGTGGCAATTATTTTTTTACCTTCATATGCAATTACATGTATGAACCCTTTTCCTTAATTTTATAGAGTTTCTTCCAATATAAAGTGGAAGACCTTGTATATTGGTTGTAAATACTTTTATTATCTACTGTATCTTTTTCCAGGATTAACACATGAAAATATTGTTTGTTTTTGGACCATTCATTGTTTAAAAAGAGAACGTAGATTTTTTTTTTTTTATTTATCAATACTATTTGGAAATTGTAGTTGTATTGATTCTCAGTTTCAGTATTCTAGTGAATTGCTATGAAGTTAGGAATGCAAGAAAAGGCCATATTAAAACACAACTTTTCTGGTTAGTTCTTTTGAGGGAACTTATTTCAATATAATAAACTTATACAACAAAGAGTTGTATATTGTTTTTTTCTCGTTCTACCTTGGTAACTGAATAATTGTCAGTTTTAACCTGGTAATGCAATATGACAAAATTCTTTAATACTTCTCACATAAGTTTCACTCTAGTTATATTTGATGTTTTGTTGTTGTGAAGTACTAACATCATCTTTACAGTAACTATCCAGGCTTGTATGGGAATAACAATGCCATCAAATGCAATGGTGTAATCTGAGGTGTTCAGTTTTGTACAGGATAGTACACCCTTGAGTGGCATTGCCTTATTTCACTTTAGTGGTCTGTGATGTGTAATCTTTGTAACCATTGGAACTGAACACATATCTTTGTTGTACTTTTTCTTTTTTTCTTTTTTTATTTAATGTTGCTCTTTATTTTTGCATTCAACCTGGCCTGAAGTAATTAAATGTTTCAGTCTGTGTCTTTTTTTTTATGAATATGAACATAACTTGTTTCAGACCTGATTACTGTACATGTGTGTTAAATCCTGTTGTTGGTATCAATCAAGACTGAGAAACCACACATGGTAAATTACAGTACTATTCAGTCAAATTACAAAAATAGCCAGCCAGCTTGTGTTGTTTTGAGAATTGGACAGGTTAATCAGTTTATTAAAACTACTTAGTTTATTAAAGCTACTAAGTTTATGATCTGTAAGAGATTGTACCTATGTCTTGGATTCAAATGTATTGAACATTGTCTCTGACAGCTTTTTTATTACTAATGTAATAATTTTTACAGCAATGTTGGTAAGTGATTACTTACTGTTATATTTTGCCTGTGACTTTTCATAATCTATGCATAGATGCACGAAGGTATACACTATTAGAAATATAAATTGAATGTAATTAAAATCATATTTATTTTAGACTTTTTTTTATATTTGTAAATACAAATTTCTAATGATTCAAAAAGTGACTTTTTAAAGATTTATTACAAGTATTTGTTATTGCACTTTAGTTGAAATTTTGGTTGGCTCACTCCATTGTCAGTTGAACTTAGTTTGCCACAGAAGTCTCTTTGTATGTTTTGACTATTTTATGACCATCATGGTTAAACAGGGTATGAACTTGTAGAGAGGTGGTTGCTTCTGCCAAATGAGTGCATTAACAGATTTTGGAGTGAGCCAAGAATCTGTTTAAAAAAAAACTCCTGTGAAAAAGCACAGATTTATATCCAAATTGTTTTACTTTGTATCCGTATTTACATTTATAAGTACTGAGGTACAGGATTTTTGTATTGCAATGACAGATTTATATTTGCTTTTAAGTTAGAAAGGTTGGGGAATGTTAGATAATACAAGTTTGATATATTGTATAGAGTTCATTCAGAGATGTATTTTTTGGCTTTTTATAAGGTCTAACATGTACTGTTTTTTTGGCAAATACTAGTTCAGCCACACTATTGTTATAGTTTAAATGCTCAGTTGATTCATATGTTTATGAAATTTGGGACTTTACAATCAACTTTTAAAATAGGAATTTATATTTTGCAGTTCACAAAATCAATTTCTAAGAGGCCCTTCAAAATAAAAAGCTGCTTTACGCCAGTGATACCAGTCATTAATTGCAGTTTGAAAAATGTTATCTCAAATTGTATCTCGCCTAAAAAAGTCAAGATTGGATGAAGTCATAAAAAACGAGGACTTCTGTCTGTTCTATTTTTCCCATGGTCCATTCATTTTTTGTTGCATGGCTCATAATAAGTCCTACAGCATTCGCATGCCTTATCTCGATTCAAACTTGTATTATAATTTCACAACGGCAATCAATCATTGCTTTCCCATATATGACTACCGGGGGTATGAAGTATATTTGATAAGATTGTCTGAACAGAGCCCTGACTGTTGTATAGGTATAAATACATTCCATTGCATGGCCAGATATGTAATGCATTTATTGCTAGTCTCTTCCATTTCTTCCTTAAAATAAAATTCTCGTATTGATGCATGTGCAGGAAATGGCCTGCAATAGTCGCCTTTTGAGTAGCCCCTAAATGACTAATCTGATCACTGTCGGAGAAACTTGTTGGGTTTAAACAATACTTTTGTTGATTATTGCATTTGAGTATCTGTTCGTTTTACTTCAAACTGCTATTTTTATTATGCACAGTTCTTGTTACCAATTAAACTGTTAATGAATTTCTTATATGTTGTAATTAAGAAGACTTTCAATATGGTCTTATTTTTGATAAAAAGGATTTTCTCTATTACTTTTAGTAAATGTTGAGATTTTTAATAAAATGATTAAAGTTGTCATCCCCAGGATGTATTGTCTCCACTCACTTTTCAGCTTATGTTTTTTGTGCCAAGTATTATGATGAAACTAATTTTTATGGACTGGATATAGCTTTGGCAGCCCATAGATGCAAGGCAGTAGTGCCCTAGCCTTGTGAGGGTGTATTGCTCATTTCACCAAAGGCTGCAAAAGCTATATCCAGTCTCTAAAGGTTTTATCATGCGCCTCATAGGTATAATTACAATTTTACCGGGGTTGTTGCCTTTTAACTCACAACATAATTTAGAATGACCGGTACAGGAAATTGTTGCCTTTATGTGAGGGCGCACTTCCCATAGTGTTACAAGGCCAAGCAATATGAGGTATATGATAAAAATGCATATACAGAATTAAGTGACAAGTCTACACATCAATGCTGATTACAGCAATGAATAATTGTCAAAAAGTGTCTGGTTTGCACATTTATGATAAAAACGATGATTTCACAGAACATGAATAATTGATGCAAGGCACACATGGTAATGCAAGTAAATGCAATGATGCAATGCATGCATGGTAATGCAAGTAAATGGAATGATGTAATGCTCACATGGAAATGCTAGTAAATGGAATGATTCAATGCACACATGGTAATGCTAGTTAGTGGAATGATGCAATGCATACATGGTAATGCTAGTAAATGCAAAGATGCAATGCACACATGGTAATGCTAGTAAATGGAATGATGCAATGCATACATGGAAATGTTAGTAAATGGAATGATGCAATGCACACATGGTAATGCTAGTAAATGGAATGATGCAATGCATACATGGAAATGCTAGTAAATGGAATGATGCAATGCATACATGGTAATGCTTGTAAATGGAATGATGTAATGCATACAAGGTAATGCTAGTAAATGGAATGATGCAATGCATACATGGTAATGCTAGTAAATAGAATGATGCAATGCACACATGGTAATACTAGTAAATAGAATGATGCAATGCATACAAGGTAATGCTAGTAAATGGAATGATGCAATGTATACATGGTAATGCTAGTAAATGGAATGATGCAATGCATACAAGGTAATGCTAGTAAATGGAATGATGCAATGCATACATGGTAATGCTAGTAAATGTAATGCACACATGGCAATGCTAGTAAATAGAATGATGCAATGCATACATGGTAATGCTAGTAAATGGAATGATGCAATGCACACATGGTAGTGCTTGTAAATGGAATGATGCAATGCATACATGGTAATGCTTGTAAATGGAATGACGTAATGCATACATGGTAATGCTAGTAAATAGAATGATGCAATGCACACATGGTAATGCTAGTAAATGGAATGATGCAATGCATACATGGTAATGCTTGTAAATGGAATGATGTAATGCATACATGGTAATGCTAGTAAATGGAATGATGTAATGCACACATGGTAATGCTAGTAAATAGAATGATGCAATGCACACATGGGAATACTAGTAAACAGAATGATGCAATGCATACAAGGCAATGCTAGTAAATGGAATGATGCAATGTATACAAGGCAATGCTAGTAAATGGAATGATGCAATGTATACATGGTACTGCTAGTAAATGGAATGATGCAATGCACACATGGTAATGCTATTAAATGGAATGATGCAATGCATACAAGGTAATGCTAGTAAATAGAATGATGCAATGCACACATGGTAATGCTAGTAAATAGAATGATGCAATGCATACATGGCAATGCTAGTAAATGGAATGATGCAATGCATACATGGTAATGCTAGTAAATGGAATGATGCAATGCATACATGGTAATGCTAGTAAATGGAATGATGCAATGCATACATGGTAATGCTATTAAATGGAATGATGCAATGCATACAAGGCAATGCTAGTATATGGAATGATGCAATGTATACATGGTATTGCTAGTAAATGGAATGATGCAATGCATACAAGGTAATG